GAGTGCTGGTGTTTGTTACTCATGTAGCGATGGAAAGGGAGTGTGAGCTGTACTGTAGTGCTGTGCAGTGCATGTGATGTGTACTGTAATGCCCTTTGCAATGCCCTCTGCAATACAGTCCACAATATGTACAGTCAAACTCTGGTTCTGCACATTTTGGGCTCAATTTTTCAAATCTCGGCTTAATTTTGGTCTTTTGTCTGAATATATTGTATTTTTATATATTTTGGATCATATTTTCGTCAATTCATTATTGCTATAACCAATTGAGACAAATATATCACTATTAATGAGTTGTTTCAACTGCTGAACGCATGCATACAATCGCACACAATGTTATTTGTATAATTAATTTTAGTGTTATTAATAACTGTAATTTTTACCAATAAAACTATTGTTATTTAAACAAATTGTTAACTAATGATAAACTTGTTTACCACCATTTACACACTTTCCCAACACACATTGTGGGTACTGTGGGTGCGCTGACCTCCCCTTCCCAATGCCATCACAAGCAACACATTTCTATTGTATAATATATTTACTCATTTGACACAAAAAGTCATAAATACTGGCTTTTGGGTTGAATATAACGACGCGAACGTAATGCTGTTTTTGCCATCACTTTTGGCAACAAATAATAGCCAGAGATTGAAGTTTTAAAATATATCATTCCTACCAAACCTTCAATTCCGATAACAAACCCGTCGATTATCAAAGTTACACAAAGTTACGACTGACTTTGAAATACTTTGAAATGCGAAGTAACAACTTATGCTAACTTTAAATTAGCCCCCAATTGCACCTCTAAATAATGTTACGTCAATGCATGCTTTTTAGATAACTTTACTTTTCCTATACATTTCGACACTTATTAGTATTGTAGCAATTATAACCGCAAGTTTTTATTCATTAATCCAATCATTAAATCCATATTAAAACAATTCCATAGAGTATTCAATAATAATTGTTGTTTGTGTTTAAATAGGATCTAATACTTTGAATCAATAGATTATATAGGAATTACTCGACACGTTATACAGAATGTAATTGTTAATCAAATTATCAAAACTATTTTTGTAGAACAAACTTATGTGTTAATAGTACTAAAAATATGCTGTAATAGATTCTTTAACAGTACCGTAATACCTGGCTTAGAAATGCATGCAATACTACGTCAATATCAGTAAAGGGGTGCAATACTATCTAGGTAAGATTGCACTCTATTTTAGGGCAATTGGAATTTTTGTTAAAAATGACATAATATTGCATGAATTTATATGCTTTTCTAAAAACAGTACAATTGTTTTAAAAGTCGTTTTGCCTAAAAACTTTGGCTTAATGATTGAATATACAGTATTGGATCATTTGGGTGAAGTAGCAGTTGTGTGAACTAACCATTTGTATGAACCAAACCCTGAAACCAAAACCCGCACTGCATAGACATAATGTTAAAAAGTACCATTTATGTGAACGTCACCTGTGTGAACGGATCATTTGTGTGAACAATTTGGTACTATTATTATACAACATTCAATGCATTTTAGGATCAGTTGTGTGAACATTAAAAAAGTTAAACCTTTTATGATATATAGAGGACAGCTTTAATATGTTTTTTGTACAAAAACTTAAAATATGGTATGAATGAATCATTTGTGTGAACCAAATGCTAAAACCCAATCACTTCACCCAACTGATCCAATACTGTACATTTCTTGTCAAACATTGTGTTTAATTAGAATAGAAAGTCTCGACATTTTGAATTGCTTGCAAATTCTGCCATAAATAAAGTGACAAACATTGATATAAGTGATAATGACTTGGATTTGATGTTAAATAATGGCGAATGTAATTCAGACACAAAGTTGACCACAAATAATGTGGCCAATTATATGTTTTAGACGGCTGTCTCAGCTAAGCGGAAAATCCTATCGCTTTATATTCTGTATTGAATTTTAGTATGATAACGTACGTTAGTATACAGTAAAAATCACTTCCCCACGTTATGATGGATCTATTCTAACGTATACTAAAACTTTTTGTGGATTTTACTGAAATTGACTTAGTATTGCATGCACTACTAAGCCAGGTATTACGGTAATATATAAATGTTAATAAATTATAATGAATAAAATGTGCATAAATTGCATATGAAAAAAGTAATATTTAAAAAAAGTTGGTAAAACTAGTGTCGAGTAATTCCTAATTAATGTTATTTTTAAATATTTAATTATCAAGAGTTTTAAAGAAAACCCAATTGACGTAAAACATAGAAATGATTTGAATTAAGGATTTGTTGATAATTGAGTTGTTTTTTACCAAATAGTTTTAAAAGATATGATTTCATAATATTATTGTGATAACTAATTCTACACTTCAATGCAATTTATTTATAAAGTTCACTTTATTTGAAAATCAATTTTGATTTAATATGATATAAATAGTATCTAAAAATATGGATAGATATGATTTCATAATATTATTGTGATAACTAATTCTACACTTCAATGCAATTTATTTATAAAGTTCACTTTATTTGAAAATCAATTTTGATTTAATATGATATAAATAGTATCTAAAAATATGGACATTTGGATCGCTTTGGAAAAAATAACAACTAATAAACTATACAAAAGTAAACAGTGGTTGCAATTATATTAATGAATATAAATTATAAAAATGTTTGATTAGCGATAAATTTATCAAAATACATGTATTAATATTGTACACGTATCCAAGTGCACTGTTATATACCGTATAATGTAAGAAGTGATGAAAGTTGACACAAATTATTAATTTAAATTGTTTTTTCCGACAATTATGATAATTGTAAAAATATTTGCCCAAATTGTCTCAAAATGTCCAGAATATTGGCTTAAAAGAGCGTTTGTCATATACAAGCTGTCGATTCTAGAAGTTAGTGCTTTAAGTGCTTTGTTTGCCAATACAACACACGTATAAATTACTTTATTTCAATTTTTTGTGGCAATTGTACCTACACTGCAAAATTGGTGAACATTAACATGACTAACCTGTATATCTTTATGATATGATTAAACAAATTAAAAACAACATATAGTTATCTAAAGATAGGTATTGAGAAAATATTTGTAATACTAATACTAATTAATAATGAGAAATGAGTCCACAATAATTGGTGACATAATGTGGTGATTACAGAGGCAGAGGGTATGGTATGGTATACTATAGCTGTGTTCAAAGAATGGGCTGAATGTAAGGTATAGTTGTTTAGCGCCAAAGAATTGCCGCACTTTTCAACACAAATGCTATTCTGTTTGAAACCATTTGAAATGTGTTGTCAATACTTATAGACTGACTGAACACATGAGTTAGGAATATATTGTTGAATATATTGTTGAATTTAGTTAAACCTATTCAATACATTGTAATATAGATCTAGACTTTATTGTCGTCATATTATGAATACACTATAATTATATGAGCTATTGTTTAATAGGAGAATACGAGCGCTGGTATAGAGTTTATGCAACGGTTAGACTTTAGGCGGGTATGGGTTTTGGGTAAGGGGTGGCCAGTGATGGTAGAGTGTAGTAGTGGTGGTGAATGACTGATGCTTTCAACAAAATGTGTTGTTATGTATTAAGTATCACATATTTGGCGCTAATTTAGCCATAATCTTGTGACTATTGAATAAGAGTCTAAAAATGTTTTATCATGTTTTTTTTGCACTCAATAAATAATAAATTTTATGATATGTTCAATGATATGTGGCATAAAACATGTCTCACTCACTAATAAGTTGATTCATTACAAAAGGACATTCAATATGTTGTGTAATGCAGTCAATTGTTTCATGTAATACCTGTTCAATATTGCACTCAAATCAATGGTCAATCCTTTCAAACACTCAATTACACGCTTCACATACTGTATATCTGCGGCTAATGTTTAGTCAAAAACTGTAATGATTTCACGTATGGATTGATGAGTTGATAGGAAGACAAATGAAACAAACAATTATAATATTAAAATACAATTTTATTGTCGATTAAATGAATCAGAATTTATAAGTTATATAAATATCGGGTATAATTGTATTGCAAATTAATTAGTTTTAAAAATTTAGACAAAGTTTCTCTATATAAAAAGGAGACTAAATGATAGTTTAATTTCATTACAAATCTATTAATCATACTTTAAAATGTTATTAAAAGTGGTAAACAATTAAAAACACTTAAGACAACAGATTCACTGTAGATATAAAACATTTAATAGAAAGAAAATCATATGTATGTCAGTATCGGTAATAATGAGGATATAATATCGTATCGATTATATATAATATGGATTACAATTGTGTTTACATTCAGATTCATTGAAATTATGGATGAATTGAGAGAAGAGGTAAGAAAACCAAACCATTAATTGTGTATTTAATTAATTGAATGCTTACATAAAATGAACGATAAAAATCATATTAGAATTAATGAATGAATTATTGGCGAAAGTAATGATAAAATTCATGTAATAATGAAATATTGGATATATTTATCGATAATTTTGTTGTATTTCTACTAAAATATTAATTAATATGAAGTACTTTCGCGAAGAACTCATTTAAGCCTTTTTAGCGGCCTTTTTGGCGCCTCCTTTCTTCGGCTTCGGAGTCGTCTTCTTGGGCTTAGCCTTAGGACTGGCCTTCTTCTTGAGGGCAGCCTTCTTAGCGGCCGGCGATTTCTTGGGCGACACCGCTTTGTCTGGCGATCCACTCGACGCGTCCGCACCACCAGTGCTGGCGGTCGACGGTTTGGGCGGCGAAGCGGTGGCGCTCTTCTTCTTAGGCGACGACTTCTTTGCCGCCTTTTTCGGTGTCCGCTTTGAAGCCGTCTTCTTCACAGCTTTGGCCGCCTTTTTGGGCGACTTCTTGGGGCTCTGCGGGGCGGCCGACGGCGCGGCGTTCGCCACAGGACTGCCATTCTGTGCGCTTTCAACAGTCGATTCAGTCTTCTTTGGCGACGAAGAGCGCGATCTTTGAGAGGGAGACGCAGTTTTGGCGCTCTTTTTGGCGCCTTTTTTGGCAGCGGTTGTCTTCTTCGGCGCCGCCTTTTTGGCCGGAGTTCTCTTCGCCGGCGATTGAGAACGACTTCGTTTGGCCGGAGAAGCCGTCGGGTTTGCGGCCGGAGTTGTGTTCAAAGTGTTTCCGATCTCGTCCTGAGAGTTGGTCACAGAGTTGTGGACATCGCTTGTGGTCTTGGGTTTGGCCGCTCTCTTACCGCTCGCCTTAGCCTTAGGTTTGGCCGCCTTTTTGGCCGAACTCTTCTTCGGCGCACTTTTGGCGCTCTTTTTGGGTTTCGGAGTCAAAGACACGGCTTTTGCTATAAATAGGCATTCATTACAACATTAATACTCAAAACGCTATCATATTCTCAATAATTGGCATTCATTTGACGCACAAATGCATCAAAAGTCAAATCAATTGCAAAATAAGAGTCAATTTCGCACAAAATCGCGATAAAGGGATCAAATGTGTGGAAATGTGTGGGAAATGGCTTTCATTGAGTGATTGCAAGCATTGAAACGGCGATAAAATGGACAAAACATACCTTTTTGGGGCATTTTTCGCACAAAATGAGTGTTAATTGTATTGAATAAACAAATTGAGTGTAAATTAGTGTTAATTAGTTGTGAAAAATGTACACAAAATCGATATAACAGTGAAATTGAATGCAAAACAACGACTGAAACCAAAAATGACTTCAAATTTAGTTTTTAACGGTTTATTCACAACACAAACAAAACACGTGTTTTCATTGGTTTCCATTCGTCTGAATGGCGTTTGAATTAAACCAATCATTAGTCGCAACACTAGACGGCGTGACCGTCGCGGCAGCCAATCATCACAGCCTTCACTACAGACAGTGACCGACACTACAGACACCACAACCACAACATCCACAACATGTCCGACGATCTCGTATTAGATCCCGACATCAGGGTCTGGGTCTTCCTCCCCATCGTAATCATCACATTCTTGACGGGTATTCTTCGCCATTACGTCTCAATCCTCATCTCTTCGACCAAAAAGATTGAATTACAACAAGTGATGGACAGTCAGGCGATGATTAGGTCCCGACTTCTTCGCGAGAACGGCAAATATCTGCCAAAACAGGTCCGTATGCAGTGACGCGGCGCTCAAGAAGTAGCGCCTCTATAACGATGTGTTGATTGCAGGCATTCCTCGCGCGCAGACACTTCTTCAACGACGAAGAGTTGGGTTATTTCAAAGTGAGTCAAAAGCGTCAGACAACGGCTCCCAACCCAATGACGGACCCGTCGATGATGACCGACATGTTGAAGGGGAACGTGACAAACGTGTTGCCAATGATTCTGATCGGCGGTTGGATTAATTGGACGTTTTCCGGGTTCGTCACCACAAAAGTGCCGTTTCCTCTGACTCTGCGCTTCAAACCAATGCTTCAAAGAGGCATAGAGTTGGCGTCGTTGGACGCGTCGTGGGTGTCGTCCGCCTCGTGGTATTTCCTCAATGTGTTTGGACTCAGGAGTATATATGCGCTCGTATTGGGTGAGAACAACGCGGCCGACCAGACGAGGGTAATGCAGGACCAGATGTCCGGCTCCGCTATGGCTATGCCTAATGACCCGAAACAGGCGTTCAAAGCCGAGTGGGAGGCCCTCGAGATCTGCGACCATCAGTGGGCCCTCAAGAATGTCGAGAATGAGTTGACCGGTGTTTCCGTCAGTCTCTCTGAGACCAGTACTTCAGGCGAAGGACGGAATGGCAATTGAATTCAATTTTATTAGATTTTGATTATTTTTTATTGATTTATAATTTATTGAATTGTTTTTCGGTATTAATTTGTTTTCACTTTTAGAATCAAATAATTGAAACAAATGTTTATATATTTAAAGATCTAAAATTAGACACACTTTTGAATAATCAGATATGCATTAAAGAGTGCATTAATACTGTAGTTGTAATTGAATTTGTGATTAAATTAACAAATTTGAGATTAATATAAAAATATGTAATTTATAATCAAGAAAAATTAGATAACATTTGCAAAAACATAAACCAATTGGTGGTTGAATTCAGTGTCTGATAGACATCGGACCCATTGTAGGCATTTGTGGTATGCCGTGATTCATAGGAGGAGGGCCTCCGGGCCCGTTGTGCGGGTTTCGCGCGACATTGCCGTACTCTTTGATGGCAACCACTTTAGAGCCGTCTCTCTTGCCTTTGAAATACCAGTACTCAATGGCGAGTGTAATGCACGCCAACACCACTCCTATGAAGATGACTATAAACACACCACCTGTGGGTCATAGACAGTGAATTAGTGAATTGAATGCATTGGTTGTGTGAATACATACCGATATTGTTGATACTGATGCCATCGCTCTGTTTCTTGTTATCCTGGCAATCTTTCTTTTCCTTGTTTTTGTTCCACCATCGTTCTTTCAGCGATTCCAGTCTCCTCTGGTTCAACAGTTTCAGTATAGAACTGCTTAACTTGTCCTTCAGTTCGGACTTCTGCTGAACGGCCAGAGCTAATGGTTTGCGACTGAACTCATTGCCCACACTTTGCAGATCGCAGTTTGTCATAACCGCGTACTTAATCATTGTTGCCTCCGCTGTGATGGCAATCAATTGTATGGTTTACCCAATCATTCAATGCTATCATTTGGTAGGACTAACCGATAAAAGCGAACCCTTCGTTAGGTTTAGACGATCTCTTGACTCTACCGACGCCCTCGAGCCAAGACGGGGGTTGTTTTGCTTCTTGTATTTGAGCCCAAATTTTGGTGTATTTATCGCTCACAGGATAGTCCCAAACGGCTAACTTCGCCCTCTCGTTCTCGTCTAAGCTGTCATTCAAAGACATGTCTTTCCAAATCCTGACAAATGTTATTATTATTATATAATTTGCAATTTAATTCATATTTTCATAATCAATGCAAAGAATTCAATCAATTCATTACTCATAGAACTTCTCCTCAATTCCGGCCATTCTTTCGAAATAAGTTGAAGAAGAAGTGCCCACTTGTGGCGCGTATTTGATTTTGTACTGTTTGGCCAAATCGTCGAGCGATTCGATGGGCGAATCCAATCGGGAAACTGTGAGAAAAGCGGCCAAATTAGCGGTGTATGAGGCGATGATGATAAAGCCGAAGAGCCACCACGTGGCCGCCACCAAACGACCCGACAAATTCCTCGGCGCTTCACCCCCTCCCTGAGGGGTCAGAGATGTCATACAAAACCAAAGGCATTCCTTGAGTGTGAACTCCCGCTTCTCGTCGTCGTCTTTATATTTCTCTTTATTGTTGTGATAACTGTAAGGACTCAAGCGGTCGAACAAATACATGAGAAAACTGTTGGAATATATGAGTGAAATATTTATCAATCAAATTATTTTGGACTCAAATTGAATATTATTTACGAAGTGAAGAAATAAGCGGCTAATATGCAGAGCCAGACATTGGTTTCTAATACAGTGAGAAATTTGAACAGATGTGAGGGAACCGAAGGCTTTTTCATGAGAATCGTTATGCCGACCAAATCATAGTACGGAACAGTGAAGTCCACAACTGTCTCCCTCTCTGCCATCACGGATATCGGGCCCAAAGCGATGTCAGCTTTCTATCACAACAATTATTTAATGTTTGTATTAGAAATAATAGGCATTTTGAATACATTTCTGGCCAATTCTCCTATCATTCCGGTCCACTTTTTGGGATCATCTTTATCTTTGCTGCCAAACTGTCCGTCGGAAACGGTGTATATTTCGTACTCAAATTTATCACCAGCATCGGTGTGGTTTAGTATTTCTTCCAACAAATCAATACAATAGCCATAATAGCGAGCATTTCCTTTGGTTTCGTTGTCCGACACTTCCATCACAAACGGCGGTTGCTTTGTATGGTTTGCGACACACAGTATACGTTAGCTTTGATTTATGTTTAGATTTTATGCAAATCTAATAATTGAATACATAATTAACTCACAATAAGTGTTGTAATCCTGTATTTCTTTAATCCGGAACTTTCTGCTGCCTTTTCTACGGCCGACGTGAACACAAAAGTTCCGGTGTGTCCCTCATATTCCCATTCCGATACCTTAATGTTCTTGTTGTTGGAATCGGCAGATATGATCACTTTATTGGTTCTCATACTTATTTCCTGGTAATTGTTGCCCAACTTATAGGAGCCGAACACAAATCTGCCAAACATTCCGTATAGCAATTCGCTGGACATGTGTTGAGCCAAACCGAACCCAATTCGCTCCGCTTTCTGGTCTTTATCCAAATAACGGCCGCATTTGGGAAAAGTCAGGTTTTTGGGCCATAAAGTGTTGACCACGTCGTCGATCATCTCTAATGTAAATCGCGTCAAATCGTGATAGAAATAAGAGTCAACTTTATTTGTATTATCGACGTTCTCGAGGGTTGTATTCAATTCGTAGTCATGTAGACGAGTCTTAAGCGGTTGCGAAAACATTACTTCAATTTTCTTACAACTTTTGCACATTAGTTTGCCTTTTGTCTAATTCAGTCATTCATATCATTTGTCAATTAAAATAAATTCATTGTATGTTTTAGAAATCACTTACTTTTGTAATCAAATGCCATTTGTTGTGTTTGTCAAACATATCGTTTTCATTTGCCTAGAAATTAAATTTAGTTTTAAAGTTTAAGTCAATACTCTATATCATTAAGAATATAGAATATAAAGATTTATTATAGATATTTATAACATTATATATAATTCTACATTATATTCAACCATTTCTAACCGCATCGATAACATTGTTGAGTGTTTCAATTGTCCCAAAAATGACATAGTTCAGCATCTTGGCTTTCTTGATGTCTGCAAACAGTTTAACGTATTGTTCAACAGTTTTGCCCTCCAATTGTCTTATAATATGCCGCGCCTTCGTGTTCACCAGTAGTGACTTCTGCTTGTGATCCAGTTCTGCAAATTGTATTCACATCACATCAATTAGCAAATCATTATCAAACATTCAATCTACAACATTTTAACTCATATATTCTATTAGTATTTCCTAAGTGTGTGTCACTACAAAATGCTCTAGAAATGCACAAAAAACTACTTTTTATGAAATTGATAGGAATTCATACGAAATGACTCGTCGTAATAGACAATCACTGTCTTGTAATTGTGATGAGCGGTTAAATCTTTGACCATAATGGGAATGGTATCTCCGGGTTGGTTAACGTGAATCAAATACTGCTTTTCATTGTCGTCCAGATTTCTCCAGTTTAGTATTCCTGATCCCAACTGATATGTGGTAGAAATGGTTGGGATTC